AGTAACAGAAAACCATTAAAGTTCATTTCAAACTTTTTTCACATCTATCTATTTGAGGTTTTACACTTATTTCCAGATGATCTTCTGGAAAATTTGGAAGCCAACCTTGTGGTGAATGCAAAATATTCTCACAAATGCTGCTAATGGAGAAAAAATAGATTGTGCTGTGCAACAATGCTTTGTATTTTAATTTAAAACACAACTGATCTCACTACTAAAGCTGACATCTGCCCAGACAATCACCAACTTGAACCTCAATAATCCAGCATGAATACTTGACAAAATAAAAAAGAAAAAAAGAAGTGTTTGAGGCTGCTGAACCTGAATTACATATACAACATACACAGTTACGTGTGATCCAAATTATGTTCAGAATTGAACGCTGCTACATGAGTGGATCCTCAGGCCTGGTCCTGGAGGCAGCTCTTTAAACATGGGTTTTCAGCATATGAACAGCTATCCTTGCTCAAAGATAATGAGCTACATAACTTTTTTTTTCCTCCACAGTGCACTTTTGCATTTACTGTGTTTTAATTCCAGTTTGATCAAGTGCCCCAACAGCCTCAGACCTATAACTACTACAATGCAGTGCATCATTTCTTGATATCCCAGATATCCAGTTGTCAAGTAAAATCAATAAAAAGCTACAGGCATACAGATTACACACTGTTCTGTAATATCTAGACAGAGTTGTGCACTTCAAACAAATTATTCAAGCACCTTAAAATTTAAGCAGACAAATCCTTGTGTAAAATAGTTACCAAGGAAGACCTTCAAAATTTTTTAAGGTACATTACCTTAAAATTAGAATGAACCCTGTTGTTATAGAAGATTCCTAGGGGTGTGAGCTCTGACTTTGTTTCAATGCCTAGACCATGAGAATCTCCTGTAGCAATTTTGTGGAACAAATACCATATTCCAGCGTCCTGCAAATGAGGAGAGAGAACATAACTCAGAAGAGAGTCTGATACTACTATCAGTTCTGACATATTCACATCTAATCACAGATAAATATATGTTAAGGAGTTGAATATTTTAAACAAGGAAGAAAATAACAGCACAGTCCACACCAACCATATGCTGTGGAATTATTTATCAAAATAGTCTCCAAAGCATTCTTCAGTGAAGAAGACCACAAATACAGCAGTACTGTAGTGATAAAGATGCATTAAAAATTGTTTTCTTCTCAGTTAAATCATTTAACATCATACATTTCAGGTCTTCTAATATTTCAAGACAAAAAGAAGAAAAGGCTCATTTTCCTCTGTGATTTCTGTGTTCCATTTCTACACAAATAATCAATTTTATTTTGTTTTTAAGTTAATCAGGCTATTTACAGAAAAACACTCAAAAAGTCTTCCTCTCCTCCTTACTGCTACACTGCAAGATTTGTTCATCTATATTCACATCAGAACGTAAGGACAACCAAAAACAAAACAACAACAACAACAAAAAAAAAAACACACAACACAAGCACTTTCAGGAAAGTGAATAGAGACATCCAGAAGCCCAGCCAGTTCAGAGTTCTGTGCCAATAACATGCAGTAATAATTTCAGCATCTGTTCATTTCCTACACTTCAACATCCCTGCTCTTAAAGAAGCTGGAGTTACCTGCCAAAGCAGACCCATAGAAGTTCCTTTTCTAACTCCATCTGAGTTGAAAAGGGGCAGTGTGGCAACAGCACCCATAACGCAGATATCTAAAGATACAAAAAATGTTGCCTGCTTGCTCTGTGCCCTTGGAAATTTTAAAAACAAACAAACAAAAATGAACTGCATAAGGAGTATTAAAGTGTTATAAAAGTAGCAAAGAAAAAAAAAAAAAACAACAACCGCATACTGTATGTTCCATATAATGAAAAATAGTCTTCACCTTCCTGTTCAAGAAATATGGATATAGTCAATTCATTCTAGCTTAAAAATCACTCCAAGAATATACTCATTTTCCAAACAGCCCTGGAAATTCTGCTTCTGAGTAACATATTCCCACCCGTAATGATGACATACTGTAACATTTCTGTCATTAACAATTCCAAAGAAAGTGTGCATGTTCCACATAAAATACCAAAATCTTACTTCACATATAATTAAATACAGTTCCGTGCTTGGCAAAGATCAAGCAATTTTTATCCAAAACACATCTTAATGCTTCAGAAAGAGTTTAATAAACTTCAAAGCTCTTAAAGCACTTGTAAGCACTCAGAAAAAAGAGCTTTTTTCCCCCTCTCATATAGCTGAAACAAAAGAAGTAAGTACTGCTGAAACACCCTTACAATAGGCTCCATTGTAATAAAGAAGTTGGAGAGAGCAATGGAATTATTTGCTTGTGAATTGTTACACTTTATACCCACAAAGCTCTACAGTGGAGTGTTTATATCAAGACAGTTGAAGCATTTTGTTTCTGAAACTGAAGCTACAGACCTTACATGCCAATGCAAGAAACGCACATATCAGAATGGCAGAACTTAACCTATACAACACTCTCTGACAACACATGCTACTATACAGAAGGGATTCTCTACAGAGGCAGAAGATGATAGTGAAATAAAGACCTAATCGAGCAACCCATTTTCTATAACCTAGCCAGCAACACTAAAGCCAGGTAAAGCAACATTATGTAGATAGACAAAATGGAAAGATACTGTGCTGTGCACTGTTTTTATTCAGTAAGATAGTCAGGCCCTTCTTAGCCATAGGCAGTCAACAAGAAGACAGTTTTGCCCCCACAAAAAAGAAAAAATTAAAAGTTCACAAGAAGCAGCAGCAGAAGTTTTATGATTTTCTGTGTTACAGACATTACAACACACAAATATTTTCAGTCTTACCATATTGTTAACAATGCGTTATGTACTTTCTGCCTAAGAATATGCTAGCACACCCACATTCTCCTTCCAGTGTCAAAAAGTCTTTCCTTTCCCTATAGTCAATGACCCATTTAGAACAATCCACCTGGAACCACCTGAGTCTCAGCCTCTCATCTGCTTTATAAGCAGAACAGACCCCTGCCAATCCTCCACAGTCTGCACAAAATAGTTCAAAACTACTCCGCGAGCAGCTGAACTGAATAAGGGCTGCAAAAAAATCAAAACGTTCACAGTTGGTAAAATCATTATCAGCAATTACTACTGAGAAGCTAGTGACAAAAGACAGACATGAAAGGTTTTCTGCACTTTCTTATTCAGTGAACTATTTTTCATTTCAATGACTGAAGCTATAAAAACAAAGTCCTTCAGAGCAGTGAAACAGTAAACACGTGACAGGGCCTACAGGAGGTTCAGAAACAGGAAATACACTAAATCTTGGAAATAAAGGTATTTGTTTTAATGCATACATATTGAGACCACTGACAGATCTACTAATTAAAAAAGGAAGAGGTCTAATCCACACTAACAAAGCCTTGTAATTGACTGGTATTTGTAATGCCAGTATACTGCCAACCTTAAATATTCACAAGTAGAAAAGAAAAAATGTATGCATTTTTGCATTATGTCTTTTGTGAATGACTGGCACAAGTAGTTTGCACTGCATTTCATCCATGCGCCTTACCTGTGAACCTGCTGCTGCATTACTTATAAGGTGATTGTTGGGATGAGAAATCCAGAAGGTTGAAACTGCCCTGAAATATTCAGAAAAGAAGTTAAAAAAGCTCTAGATCCTACAGAAATAACTCACTCTTGAAGCAACCATCAGAAAAGCTAAACTGATGTGTAAAGTAACTACTTCCCACACAAGCACACAGAACTTCAATGCAAAATATTTTACGATAGTTCAGACACACTCAGTGCAACTATAAACAGTTTTAATAAGCTTCTACAGTACACAAGTGTTATGAAGACAAGCTGTAGGTGGCAGGCTAATGGTACTGGTGCCTTAACACAGCAGCCTTAAAAAAAATAAATAAATAAAAATCAACTTATCAAGTATCACAAGACACAACAAATCTCGTTATAAATCAACCCATGTTTTCTCTTCAATGAAACACCATATGTTTTTACTTTTTTGAACAATACTGCCATGTGAACTGCAGTTAAGGTGTCCACATTCACCACAGATCGTACAAAAAAAAAAACCAAAACATTCCATCTGTATTTTGTCAAGAGATCATCAGCAGTTTATTTGCAGCAGCTGGTTTGGTTTTAATTTTTTAACAAAGAAATACTCACATGCAGTCTGTGGCTGGCACGGGAACGTAACTTCCATACACTTTATCCCTTATGCCAGTACACATGGTGCTGTTTCTATCCGTAGGAAGAATAGTGCCTGGTTTTGTGACTAGTCCAAGGTTGTGGAAGAGAGTATTCCTCTGCTCAATGCCATCCTCTATGAAGAAACAGTGACCTAGTGTGTCATAGCCAATGGTGTCCTTTATCTGCAGAAACACAAGTCCATTATGTCAGTAGCAATAGCATTTACTGAGATTTATTTGACAAGTGCCATTTAGTTTTGCTATCTTGGCACAGCTGCAGAGTGAAGTTTCAGTATCAGTGACTCAGATGATTCAAATATGGAGTTCTATTTCTCTATTACAAACACGCAATGCCTGGATAGTTTAGTTGCCTTCAAGAATCTAAAAAGCAGAATGACAAGATCTGTTAAAAATAAGTCACTGTTTGCACTTGTGTATTTATTCATTACAATAAAAAAAAAAATTAAAAAATCACTCCTGAGCATTTAAACTTTAAGTTAAGGAACTGCTTTTTGCTCTACATGTTCTTCTTAAGATTCAGGTCAACACAGCCTATTTTATTCTCCTGGCACCTACCAGTAAGCCATTAGTTGCATGAATAGTCACACATCTGGAGAAACAGTGATGAATGGAAAGACCATCAAGGTAAGTCTTAGAACTATAACCTCCTTTTTCATCCACATCCCCACAAAGGTGAAAGTGAACAGGGTAACTTCCTATCTGCTGCTGGCCCATTTGCTTTAATTCCACATAGGAGAGATGAACAGATGTAAAATTCTTCAAAATCTAGAAAGATAATGAAAAGTCCAGAATGATTAACTACTTGCTTGTTAACCAATGGAAATTTAAGATAATACATCACCTATTCCAGATGCACAGTTTTTGCAAGCTAACACTAAGAGAACCAGGACAGCCATTACTGTCCTGCTCTATATCCTACTTTACAAAACAGTATCATTCATGAACGAGAGTGAAAACTAAATTTTCACGTGACAAAAACAGAAAATTCCATCAGACTGTACATTGCCACTTTGCTTTTTCAGGCACATTAGATATTCTTTACTGACAACCATGTACCATTTGAGTAAACAGATGTCTTTGAAGTCACGTTAGGTCCTGACTGTACTGAAGCTGTATCTGTGCAGTCAATCCAGCACAGAGTTAAGTTTAATAAAATTACAAAATAGAGGGTCCAGGGAACCTACCAGGAAACCTGATCCAATTAACAGCACAATACCGGGCCAGCTTAAAGATGATAGCTCATCATATCAGAATATCTACAAGGACAGAAACACTCAAGACAGCCCTGCTGCAGCTTGATCCTACTGTCTACTGTCTTACCACTAAGCACCTCCAGGAACTCTGGCACCTACTCTGTGCCCCTAAGCCCCAGCCCCTGACATCTGCAGGCAGATTCACCCTCTTTGCCTTCCCCACCCTGAATAAGCCCTGTTTTCTCAGGTCCTCCTCAGGCATCATGTACTCCAGCACACTTCCAGTTATAACCTAAAACTGAATGCACTCTAGTGAAGAATCAACACCTTTCAGATGAGGATGCAGCACAGATCATGGAACTTCACAGTAATCCTATGTAATATATGATAAAAGAAAATAAGAATAAGCAGAGAAGGCATTATAATGGAGCTGGAGCACTAAAAGGGGAAAGCAAGAGTATTTTCTTCTACCTATTTCAACCCGAAAAGAGAAACCGAGTACAAAAATTGAACTACAAGGTACTGAAATACAGGAAGCTAAAGGGTGAGAGAGCTTTGTTGTTATTTTATTAGTTTACCTATACTGGATATTTGGATATTGTACAAAAATAATACTTTTCATAAGCATAGGTTACCCTCAAGGGAAATGAGCAATAAAGTGATGGACCATTTAGTGTGTTTGCTTACTTTTTGTAGCCTTTTCAGGAAGGACAAGGTTTTTTTTCTTTTATTTGATTGCACAGCTTAAATTTGCCTGTCTGAAATACAGAGATGGACTATAACATGTCATCCTGAGATCTGACTTCAGCACTTAAAGACAAGAATGTGTGGTAAAACTACATGTGAGTTCCTCTCCCTGCTGTCCCCAGCCCATTTCACCCCTATGCAGAGCTAGCCTGGAACAGACTGAACCCCCAGGCCCTCAACATCTGCCAGTTGACCAGGGTCTCATCACTAGAGCACGTAAGGTTAATGTAAGCTGAAAATGCTTCCAGTGCTGAAACGCAGGCTTAGCAGCAGACACTCAGTTTCTCTAAGTAGACTCCTGGGAATAGTTTAACTTTGATGACTCAAAATATTTGTTTTCTGCTCTGCCTGCAAGGCATCTGAGGGGCCTTGCTGCCCAGCACCCCTGTGGAAATCAAGATCACATTTAATGAGACTCACAGCTTGCCATTTATCTTCTTTCCTTACATTATCTGAAACATAAAAGATTGGCTTAAGCTCATCTATTTCCCTTGCACACAAAAGCTGCCACACAGTAGGGAAAGGGAGCATTTTCTTTCCCACTATTATGTACACCGCTATAAAACTAAAATCTGCATCCAAATCCATTGAAAAGGGAGATTTAAACTGTGACCAACACATAATGAGCACAAATACATTTGCATTTAAAACTTCTCCAGCAGCAAAGAGCTGACACACTGCTGCTCTGTCCTTTCATTTAAGTGAATACGAGTTTCATTATTAGTTTCTACAGCACTACTTTTATTCAGCTTTCTTTATGCTTATGGTAATATAAGAAATCAGCAGCAGTTTGCTTTACATAACCTTGGCACATTCAGATAAAATAAATAAGTCAAATAAAAAAATCCACCATAGTCCAACTCAGCCTCTTTCCTCACCATGCCTCTCTACCGCCTGATTTCGGAGATGATATGGATCTCTAGGATTGAGTCACTGCTCATCACTTTGGGAGAGAAAAAGGCAGGGAAAGGAGAAAAGACAGAAAATGGAGATCAAGTTTGAAAATGTTTTAAGTTGAACAGGCAGATACACAACTTGTAAGGCCTAACCACCACCACCACACGATGTTGCAAGATATGGTGCATGCTTCTGCCACATTAAAATTTATATAGTGTGCTACAGTGCCACAGAGTTAAATTAATTTTGAGAAAGAGAGAATAAAGTCCTTTCTATGAAAAGCAGTTGTACGAATTTATGTTCTTTAAGTTTTCAAATGCCTCCAAGATTAGTATTGACTTTTTTGTTCTCAGTGTACTTTTGAGACGACAGAAAGCTACTTAATGTTTTTCAAACCTTGATATGTCCACCAAACGTATCATAACTGAAAAACTGACACTCCTTTTCACGATAGCAGGTATTTTCTGTCTCTCCCTTGATTAAGATGTTCCTTGTGAGAACTCCAACTTCTGCCCTCATGTCCACTCCATCAATAACTTCTCCCACATGGGGATATTGAGGTTTTTCTGTCCAAAAACAGTTTTGAGAGGGGGGAAAAAAAAAAGAAGAAAAAAAGACTGTCATTATCATAAACAGTAAACAACAAGGGCTGCTCTGAAAGTAATACTTCCTATTTTATAATGTTGGCCCATGACATCAAAAGGCAAATGATGGTGGTATGGTAGTAGAGGTTGAACCTTCCCCACCAATATTCCATTACATGTCATTGCCATCTGGCAGATGGCAGCAGAGGAGCAGTCAGACAAACTGGCATCTGACATGAAATGCAAACAAAGCAAGATTGTGTCACTGAATACCTCAGTGCATAAAAGATGGCACCCACTTACATTCATTGATGCTTACTGAATGTTTATGGAGACCAAACAGTGGATGTGAACTTAATGAGGTGGCGGGTGGTGTGCTTCAGCAACAGCAATATGAAAGACAAGTCATGCTCCAGACAGCCATGCAAACTGTCACACCACTAAACAAAGAGTGCCTCCATCAGATCATGACCAGGAAACTGCATACTAAGCTGAATACCAGCTTCGGTGCGTTGGAAATGATGGCAGCAACACTGAAATATCACAAAGTTCGTGCCAGGATGCACCAACAAACTCTCACTCAAGAACAGAAAGAATACTGCATATGAGTTTGTCAGGACTTGCTGAACCAATATAAGGCTGAAGGTGACAGTTTCCTGGATTGAAGTATTACCAGCGGCAACACGTGGTTTCACCAGTATGAGTCAGCCAAAAAGGCAGTCCATGGAGTGGTAACGTGAATCCACCAATTAAACAGAAGTTCAAGACACAGCTCTCAGCAGGCAAAGTGCACTGCCTTTAGGGATAGGAAAAGGATCGTCCTTTAGGAATTTCTGTAACCCAGTTAAACCATAAACTACACTGTAGTGCTGTCTAAGCTGAAGGCTCAAACTTCCTGAGCCAGCTCAGAGAAGACATCATACAACACGATAAGGCCAGGCCCCATACCCCTCTGAAGCATGGAGCTCCTCACCAATTTCACTTGGACTTTCAGACCACACCCACCACACAGTCTGGATTTGGTACTTTTTGACTTATGTCTGTTTGGGCCAATGAAAGATTCTGAGCAATGATGCTGTTGCAGCAGTTGTAGGTCACCTCTGCTGGTGCAGATTTTTGTAAGTGCAGAAAGAATGCTTTTTTTCACTGCTGAAGAAAATGCATGACTAACGGTGGTGACTATGTTGAAAAATGGTGTTTTGTAGCTGAGAATTTGCTCTATCAAACAGTGTTATTGTGCTCTT